CTATGGAATCAGAGTTTATAGCTCTTGATAAAGTTGGAGAAGAAGCATAATGACTTCGAAATTTTCTTGAAGATATTCCATTATGACCAAAGCCTACAAGTGTCTTATGTATTTGTTGTGACAGTTTGACTACCTTAATGAGAGCTAAAAATAATGTCTACAATGAGAAGTCAAGACATATAAGACGCATGCATAATTCAATCAGGCAATTGCTCTCTAATGGAATAATTTTCATTGATTATGTAAAATCAAAAGAGAATGTTGCATATCCTTTGATGAAATGATTGTCAAGAGAGCAAGTTGCGTATACATCGAGAGAAATGGTATTAAAGCCTATGAAATGAAGTATCTGGTGGTAACCTAACCTAGTTGACTGGAGATCCCAAGATCTAGGTTCAATAGGCAAACTGGTTGGATAATTCATAGTTGACACACTAAGAAACATATAGTTTCTTCCTATTTATATGATGTTATGTGTGTGATCTGTTGATGTTAAAGTCATATTGATATCTTGATTACAAGAGGAGCAGTGGTAGAATAATCTTAATCAATATCACCTATGTGAGAGTAGAATTGTGTCGGTTCTATGAAAACTTTTCAAATGACTTATGTTCTCTAAAGCTCTCATGAATTCGGGATCTTGTCCAGGACCAAAATAGACACAACCGTATAGAACTCAAAGATACAAGATAAGTTATGTGTGATCTTGTTGTCTCAATTTATCATCAGAAGGATAATTCCAGAGCAAGTTCTCACTATTTCTTCGATAAATTTGATCGATATTCACTAAGGAAGGTTCAAGTCCAAAAGACACCTCTCCTGATGCATAACTTATCTATTTGCTCTCAACGTCTTGGTCGTGTTTTGTCTATCTAAATTTCTTTCATATGGGTAGGGGTGTTCACGGGTTGGGTTGGGTCGGGTTAAGGGATTTTTTTGGACTAACCCGAATTTTTGGGTTGGTTAGTTTGTGGACTCAATCAAACCGAATTTGATAGCCAACCCAACCCAACCCAACCCTATATTTTTCGGGTTGGGTCTAGTTGGGTCCTTGGGTTTCAACAAAAGAGAGATGTAACGGAAAAATGGCAACAGTAACATAGAACACAAAGAGGGTTAAGTGAAAGGGGGAAAATTATTGAAGGATTGAAAACCCATATGAAAAAACAGCGAATGAAACGTGAAATTCACACCAAATTTTGTGGTTTTAAGAGATTGATTTTTCAGATTAACAAAAGGAATGATTAAAAACAAGATAGAAATAGAGAGAGAAGAGAAATACTTGTGGCGTTCACGAAGGGGAAGCGAAGAGGCCGAAGGAGGGAGATGAGTGAGATTGAGAGAGGTGAGAGGAGAGAGAGGGAGATTGAGGGAAGCGGGGGAGGGAGAGAGGAGATGAGAGATGAGAGGGAAGAAGGAAGGGAGGGAATGAGGGAGATGCATGGTGGGTGGTAGGAGAAGGAAGCGGTTGATGTAAAAGAGAAAACCCTAGTTTTTAATATATATATATATATAATTTTTTAAAATTATTATTCGGTTCGGTTTGGGTTGAATTGACAAAAAATTGGTCTAACTCGTGAACCGAACTGAATTTTCGGATTTGAAAAAAATCAACCCAACCCAACCCTAAAAAATTCATAATCCAACCCAACCCAAACCGTTTGGGTTGGGTTGGTCGGGTCACCGGGTTTTTTTAACACACCTACATATGGGGGATTGTTGGTTTTTAAGGTGTGAAAGAAAGTGAAACTTACACATTGTGAATATGTTTATTACTATAGTGATTTTGTTTATTTATTTGGTTAAAGTTACAAAGTTACACATTTGTAACTTTATGTGTTAAAAACACGTATATGTTAAACTTAAGTGAGAAGTTTTTTATATTTATGTGTTAAAGTTACCTATGTAAAAATGTTACATATGTGTTTACTTTTGTGTGAGAGGTTACATGTTTGGACAACTATATATAGTTGTGTTTTTCCTCATGAGATCAAACATTTCTCATTTGAGTTTCTCTCCCTCTCACAAGAGTTCTCTCTTCTTTTGAGTTGTTGTTCTTATTTGTGTTGAGAGCAAGTATCTAAGAATTCTGCTAGATTCGAGTAGGTGGAGATTACTGTTCTACCAGAGTTAGTCGTTGTATCCTACTGAGACGATTGATGTAGTCTGCTAGCAACTATGCAGAGCGAATAATTGTCTTCAAGTCAGCGCTATTGAAACATGCCTCGACTATATTTATCAAGTTTTGGTGTTGTTCAAGTTATCAGAATCTGTATTGTTTGTAGCCAGTTACGTTGTAATCTGTTTGCTAGTATTATACAGTTTATACTTACATCATATATTTACCTAATAGTGTTCAAATTAAAACATTTACATCTTCATTTACCCTCTGTTTGATATGAAAAAAGTTCCAGAAATGATTTTTAAATTATGTAACTTGAAATATGAATGTTTTTATCTCATTTGGAGTGATAATTATTTGAAATGAATATAGTTAAACAGATGTTCATCGGAAAAAAGAAAAGAAAATAGAAAATTTAAGACTTCTCATGTAAATTTAATTAAAATTAAAATACGACAAGATTAAATAAGTAATTTAGTTTGAAACTTTATGGAATCCTACTAAACCTTTTTTTTTTACATAAAAATACAATTTGAAATCGGTAAGTGATTTCAAATATTCTTATTTCATTGTGATAACTTCATTTTGAAATGAAATCACAAAAAATTCAGAAGATCAAAAGTTGTATATGTCTAATAAAAAAGAACAAAGAATTAACTATATTTTACTTTGAGGGCGGGTACACTTGCGCTGCCTTTTTGCTTATTACCATTCCCTTTTATCTTCTGTATAATTTTAAAAAAACCCAAAATAGAAATAAAAAATCCAAAATAGAAATAAAAAACCCAAAATAAAAAGAAATAAAATTTGGGGCTTAAGTTATTATAGTTTCTTCACCTAAGGTTGTTATAAAATCATATAATCTATTGTATATATAAAAAGGGCTATAAGGAGAAACTTTATCTCCCTATTTTGCCCTCTAACTTTAAACATTTTCGTTATTATGTTGTTGGCAATTTTGTCATTCACTCCCTACTCATTTTTCTTTATATAATTTATGTATTAATAAAGGAAGTTATTAAATGTGGCCATGAACGTGCACATCTTATCGACCCACTAAGAAAAGTAACTGTTTATAATTTTTTTTAAAACAAAATGAACTTTATTAAAGACCATCAAGGATTACGTGTATAGAATAATGTCTATTGACATCATTAGGAAAACAAGTGGGAAAAAAATTATCCCTTATATTAACAATCTAGAGAAACTTTTCTGCCGCTTGAAAATATTAATAATCCAAGAGGCATATTTATTTCACGCCAGACAAATTCCTTGAACAAAAAACTGTTATAAAATTAGAAAGACAACCGTAAACCATTTATATTCTAATAAATATAATCATCTTGATTGTGATCTAATTAATTTTTAAAATGTCCCATTTTAAAACGAAGAAATTAAAATTAAAATTAAAAAAAATCAAAGGAAAAGAAAGTTGACAGAATATGGGAGAAGAAGAACCAAAGAAAATCCACAAAAAAACATGCCATTACGTGACTTACTTCAATTTAATCTTTCTCTTTCCATTTTTTTTCAGACGATTTGGATTCCCAAACCTAATGGCTCAGCATTTCTATTGGAATTTGTAACCAACATTCTTGCTATAAATCCTGCTCCATCCTCTCCATTCAACGATCACCAAATCCTCAGTTTGCCTCTGTTCATTTCCTTGCTCTCAAGTGTGCTATTCTATTGATCTCTTTGAATTCGTGTATTTTTTTGGAATTATCATTGTTGAATTTTCTTCTCTCTACTTTCGTTTTTTTTTCAGGAGAAGATTTGTTGGCAATGAATGGAAAGGTAATCATCATCGATCTGTAGATCAGAGCATGGACAAAATTAGGTTAGGGAAAGAATAATTCGATGAAAATTGGGTTGATTATTATTATTTTTTTTCCGATGTGAAATTTGCAGAAGAATTAGTAGGTGCGTCAGGTCGTCATTGGCTGAAGAGCGAATATGAACTACTTCGCAGGTGGATTGCAGGATAATGTAGAAAAGATATGCCCCTAATAATTTGATCAACCACGCCTCTATAACCCATAAATCTCTATTATCATTCCAGATGGAAGAACCAGCGCAACTGTGACTTTAGAAACTATGCTCTCATCGTCATCATTAATCCAAGGTAGTCTGCCTTTCCATTTTGTCTGTTCTTCATTCTTTTTTCAGTTTTTTTTTTTCAATTTTTCAAGTCAACAGAACTCCATTTACCCTTGAATTATATAGGAGACAATTACCTAACTGAAGAGAAAATTTTTTAAGTGATTTAAAAAGTTTTATCTGAAGTTGTGATTAGGTAAGTGGGAAGAGATAGATATTGAATATTAAAAAACCTTCCCATCAAAACTATCGGCTTTAGCCTCTCTTTTTTTTTTCTTTCCTTCTTTTCAAACGTGTGTATTTTAAAGATTACTTGCTTCCACCATGTTAAGATCCTTTTTAGAAAGATTTAAATATTGATTCCTTAGCACTCATCTTTAATATATTTTTTTAAAATATCATTTTCTTTGTAAAAAATTTAGTGGTGGTCATCTAAAAATTGGTACCGATGCGTTTCTAAAGAAGCTATACTAAATAAGAAAATCTATTTATAGATTAGATCAAACGAACATAATATACATTAGATGTATTTAAAAAATCAATTTGCAAACTATACAAAATCTAAGTCTTACATTTTATATGTTAGTGGGTGGAGATAGAAAAAGGGAGAGAAAATTAAAGAAATTTAGAGGGATGGAAATAAAAAGAGTTTGTATTGGAATGTCAAAATTGCTCCAAGTAACATGATAAATTTCACGTGCATCCCACGTGTCACTGACTAGTCTTTCGAAAAAAGCTTCCTTTGTTATACAGTTTTCTTCCTTTTCATTCGTTTTTTTCCTTCTCCTAACTTGGTACTGCACAACGCTTGCTCGTTCACCCAAGACTTCACGATCCATCGCAAATTTTCTTCACGTAATCCCTCATATTTTCTTTGCATAGTCTTATCACCCTTGCCTTCCCATCAACCAGAATGTTAATTCGTTTGTGCTTTTAGGATTCTGTTAATTTGTTGGTGATCCATCCACAGGTTCGGAATGAATCATCGTTTATAGTTTCGTAATCTTTTTTGTTCCTTCTTTTGTTTAGATCTGTTGTTTGCTTGCTGCTCTTCTTTCAATGAACGAGTGTGGCGTGTAGGATTTTGGTTCTAATCGAGTTTTGGGGCATGATTTGGTGTTCGAATACAGATATTTTGCTTCAGCGATGAAGAGGTCAAGAGAAGATGTAAACATGGAGTCACAGCCCTAGCGCCTACTACTTCCCTCTCGAGGAGAATCGTATGTCAATCTTCCATATTTCTGATAAATTTGGTTTCTCTGTTTTATGAATTTCTGCATGGGAGTAGGCTTCTGTTTGTTGAGTTTGGTTGATTTTTTTTGGCGGAATATACCGGTTTAGGCTTGAGGATTCACTTAACAAATCCATCTGAATAAAAACTATGTTCAGGACATATTGGTTTGCCGAATTAATTAATGAGAGAAGTGCTTCTTTCTGCAATATTTTATCTTGATACTTGTTCAGTGGTGAGTTCGATGATAGATCACTGTAAAGATTAACAGATCTATCTATTTTTATGTCTGTTGCGCTGGAAATGAAGTACTGTGCAGAGCCAAATGGTGGGAGGTGGCAGCATACAGAAATTAACTACGAATGATGCCCTAGAATATCTTAAAAATGTGAAGGATATCTTTCGAGACAAGAAGGAAAAGTATGAAGATTTTCTTGAAGTTATGAAAGAATTCAAATCTCAAAGGTTTGGTTGCAATATGATGTGTAATTTCTTCCCCTTCCCTATCTAGTTTAGAGGTGTTCCCTTGAGTTTTAAATGATCTGTGTTACTGTTATCTGTTTTGTAGAATTGATACCGTTGGTGTCATAGCAAGGGTAAAGCAACTATTTAAAGGTCATCGTGACCTGATTTTGGGATTTAATATGTTTTTGCCTAAAGGATATGCAATAACGTTTCCTCTTGAGGATGAAACACCTCCTCAAAAGAAGAAGCCTGTTCAATTTGAAGAAGCTATCAACTTTGTCGGTAAGATTAAGGTAATTAAATCACATTTTGACATTTTTTGATGTGATTGTTTTGCTTTCATGCATTATAGGCAGATTTCTTTTCTGAACATGCAGACACGATTCGAAGGGGATAACCATGTATACAAGTCATTTTTAGAAATTTTGAATTTGTACAGGAAGGAAAACAAGTCCATAAGTGAGGTGTACCGGGAGGTTTGTTTTCACTTTTCAAGTTCATGCCTCCTTTTAAAACAGCAATCCAGTGGATATTTGTCTCAAAATTTCCTATTTTTGTTTCTCTTTTAACATTTGATGCTGAGTTTAACTCATTTCAGGTTGCTGCCCTTCTGCATGACCACCCAGACCTTCTTGGGGAGTTTGTTCATTTTCTGCCTGATGCTTCAGCCACAACCTCAAATCATCATGCATCATCTATGAGAAATTCTGTGCTTCGTGATGGGAATTCTTCCATACCACCTATTCAACAAGTACATTTTGACATGGTCTTAAATGTTCATGCTTTTCATAAATTCTTATTTTATTCAATTGTTTGGCCGGTATTTAGTTTGTGTGCTTAATTACCAGAAAGAGAGGACAATGGCTTCACATGACGACCATGATATTGGTGTTGACCACCCTGATTCTGACCATGCTAGAGTTACTGTTGATAAAGCACAATGTCAGCACAGTGAAAAAGAAAAGGATAGAAAAGACAACACATATAGTAGGGAACGGTATAGGGACATTGATAAAAGAGTTAACAAGCATGATAACAGTAGGGACATCAGTGTGCAAAGATTTCCTCATAAGAGGAAATCTACCTTTAGAGTTGAAGATACAGTTTCAGAGAAATGGCATCCAGGTGGAGAAGGTGATAAAAACTCTGGCGTGCGTTCCTTGGCCTTATGATAAGAGAATGAAAAGTGAATATTTTAAAATACTGGAGATTTTATTTGACTGCAAATAAATTTTTTTTTGCAACTTATTTTACTTAACATTTACACATCCTATATAAACTAAAGGCAAAAGTTTTATTTTTCCTTAATTTTTTACTTTTACATCTACACACACACCGTTTTGGATCTGTAATCTGTATTTGGTTTAAGCAAAAGAGTTGTAACTATGTGCCCTTATATTTAGTAGGTAAGGCATTTTGAATATATAAGATAATTGTTCGTTCTGGTGTTGCATCTCTTACTTATTGGATTTCATGGCAGTGGCAGCTATGTCTTTTATTGAGAAGGTAAGACAGAAGTTGCAAAATGTTGATGTTTATCAAGAATTTGTGAAGTGCCTTGATATATTTGACAAGGAAATAATCACTCGATCAGAACTGCACTCTTTGGTATGGAATATATATCTATGACACAAGAACTTTATTACCCTTGTCATGTTGTATATGTTCTCTAAGCAAAATTGTGTTGTAATTTTTAATCATGGAAGAAACTCACTGAGTTCTTTCAAATTGTATGTGCAAGAATGAATAAATATCGTGTTTGGAAGCATCTTTTCTCTTTTGCCCCATTAAGTTGATATCTGTCTTAAATATTTATATATTGATGTTGCCATGTTTACCGTGTACGTTTTAGGAACAAGAATTGTTCTTCCTTAGTCTTAGTCCTCAAGTTTACTCCATGACCTTAATAACTATTGTACTGTGGCACCCAGACAAGAATAAGTAATCATTTTGACATTTCCTTTTAGGTATGAGCTGTCATTTCCCTTTCCCATTCCTCGAGGCTTTATATTTTTAAAAATAATTTTTGGTGGTCTTGAATAACTCAAAATTAGAAGATGCTTCTGATCCAACAAAAGATGGTGATAGGTCTCGAATTTAGTTTACCTATGCTAGACGTGGGACTTTTAAGATGAATTAGGAAATAATATGTGGTTGAAAATATTAATTGGGTAGTTAGGGGAAGTTACAGGTAGCTATGAGTAGTTTTGGGAAGTTATGATAAGTTATGGATAGTTGGGTAGTCATGGGAACTCATGTTTTGTGTTTTGTATATAATAATCATGTAAGGGAAGGCGAAAACTAGTTTTGCCTTATCTTAAAACTAGAATGGATAGTTTCAGACCTTTCAAAGTTTTCAAAACGAGGGAGTGTCGGACCTTTCACCTTTTTGACTAGGTTGTAATTTTCTCCTACATGTAATAAAATTACAGCAATTTTAAATTCAAACAGATGGTGAAGGGAGAGTAGAGACATGATGTAGGCTACAAGTGATGATCACATCAACAAGTGATTCTTTATTTAAATTGGATGAGATTAGATGTGTCCTATGATAATATTCACTTGGGTGACTTTTCAATTAGGATAGGGTTGATTGGATTTTTAACTTGGGTAGAAGTAAGGTGGATTTTTAAAATTAAAAAATGGCCAACTCATATGAAATGATAAACACCGCATCATTATTTTGTTTCAATCTCAATGACGTTACTAAGTAGAGAAAAATTATGAAATATTAATGATAAAATTGAAACTTTTAAAAATATTAGGGAGAAAATTGAAAATTGATGTATACTCCAAGGACCAAATGATATATAACCAAAAAGAAATATCAAATTTACTCCATTCAGACTTTGATTCTAAAATATTTGTAGTAAAAATGATATAAAAAAATTTACTTTCAATTACTACTTTTTCTTTTTCTATTTTTATCGCATTTCAAATCCTTTCTCATTTTATAAAGAGGATCTTAGTTCTATATATTCCTTAGCTGTTTCCTGCATGAACATTGACATAGTTTTGGAGGAGAAGACATAAGGAACGTCAATTTTTTTATTTTTTTTGATAAAAGAACTTTATTTGATAGAAATCAAAAGATATACAAGGACATAAAATAAAACAGCCAGACTAGAGAATACCCCCTAAAGATAGGGGCTCTAGTCCAAAAGAATAATGCCTAATTGGTATTACAAAAACTTGTAGAAACCGATACCCATTGGGACGTGTTAAACCTAATAAAATCCTACACAGATTCGAAACGTCTCTCAACTCCCCTAAAAACTCTGCTGTTTCTCTCCAACTATATTTCCCATAAAAACACCTCCTAAGTGGGCGGTGAAAGAAGAGAATGTAGATGTTATTTGGTGGTGGTTAGAAGTAGTTGACTAATCTTGACACTCCTGATTTTATTTATAGTGTTGCTTAGCCATATTCTTTATACTATGAAAAGTCTTTGATGGTTTTGGGGAAATACACACTACGTTTACTACATTTGTGTAAACTTTTCCCTTATCAGGTGAGAGATTTAATTGGAAGATATCCAGACCTTATGGATGGATTTGGTGAATTTATGACACTATGTGACAAAACTGGTAACTACTAGTAAACTGATATTTGACCTGATAATCATGCTGTATTGCTAAGATGATAACTAAATCAATTACTATCCTGCAGATGGGCTTCTAGCTGGTATCATGAGTAAAAGTAAGTGAAGTGATTGCATTGCTCCATGTGCTAGTATCAGTAAATAAAAGCAGTGTTCTAGGACATGTGGCTTTGTTATATTTCTTTCTTTATTTCTTTCCCTTTCCGCACAGTTGCATAATTTGTAAACTAATTTGTAGCGTAACAAAATACAACCATGTCACAGAATCCTTGTGGAATGAATGTAGTCTACCAAGATTGGTGAAGTTAGAGGAAAGGGAAAGAATTCGAGATCATGAAAGGGAGGAAGGTTTTAAAGATCGAGACCGTGGGAATCGAGAAAGGGATAGACTTGATAAAAGTGTTGCTTTTGGCTCTAACGATGTTGGAAGCCATAAGATGACTTTATTTTCTAGCAAGGACAAATATCTTGCAAAGCCTATCAATGAACTTGACCTCTCTAATTGTGAGCAGTGTACACCTAGTTATCGTCTTCTACCAAAGAATGTATGAAGTGGAATAACTATTGCTAGGTTATTTGGAGATAGATCATGAACTGATATTCTGATTCTTTTGTTTTTTTTTTCTTTTCGTAATTTACTTGCAGTATCCAGTTCCCTTCGCTAGTCAGAGAACAGAAATTGGTGATCAAGTATTAAATGATCATTGGGTTTCTGTTACTTCAGGAAGTGAGGATTACTCTTTTAAACACATGCGCAAAAACCAGTATGAAGAAAGCCTGTTTCGTTGTGAGGATGACAGGTTAAACCTCAACTGAGATTAATTTATGTATTTTCTTCACTTCTTATCTGTTGAATTAACAGATGCAATCAAGTTTGATGCTCTTGCTAGGTTCATTGGTTATACTTATAGTTGGCAGTCTTTTGCATTCATGATTGATGATTCCATGTCAATGCCTAAGCTTTGATTTTCTGTCATTAAATTTATCATTCAGTAGATGTATTTATTCATGTCGGATGTCCGTTGATTTCTGCTTTCTTTCTATCTGACTAGTATTATCAATTATTTCCATTTATTTTTTCCTTTTCTTTGCAGTTATATTTTCACAGATAATTAGTTGTGTTATACTTATGCTGGCAGGTTTGAATTAGATATGTTGTTAGAGTCTGTAAATGTAACATCCAAGCGTGTTGAAGAATTATTAGAAAGAACAAACTTGTCGGACCATCCAATCCATTTTGAAGACCATCTAACAGGTAGTTTTGTTGTTAGGATATTTAATGAGCTCACTTGTCATGTTGTCAGTTTTTCCTATTACCTTCTCTAGCAGCACTTCATCTGAGGTGTATTGAACGCTTGTATGGTGATCATGGCCTTGATGTGATGGATGTGCTAAGAAAGAACGCACCTCTTGCTCTCCCTGTTATATTAACTCGCTTGAAGCAAAAACAAGAAGAGTGGGCACGATACCGATCTGATTTTAACAAAGTTTGGGCTGAAATATATTTTAAGAATTATCAGAAATCACTTGATCATCGCAGCTTCTATTTCAAGCAGCAGGATACTAAGAGCTTAAGCACAAAAGGTCAGTTACAAGTTACAAGTTAAATATCTGATTTATTTATGATTTTTTTTCCTTAGCTTAGTATCCATAATAATAATGTTACCCATTTCATAAACTTTTGTTCCCCGTGCAAGAAGATGGTATTATTTGGATCTTGTTTTCTATTTACAATACTATCAAAAAGTTAGTTTGGATATGTAATTATTATTTCTGCAAATTTTTTGAGGTTGGCAAGTTATGGCAATTCCTTTACTATTGGGTGGTAAAAGAACCGAATTCATTAGATGTATTATGTATTTGAGCAGAAAACTCATCCAAGAGGCTCCAACATTTCATGGATTGCAGAAGATAGCTCACTGGGGAGATTTATTTTTTGTTTCCCCACCTGAATTGAATGATGTGTTCTAGTTTTCAGTCAATTTTTATTTTGTTGGTTGGATGGACTGCTTGATGGGGGACAGAGAGAAATTAGGAGAGGCATGAGAAAACATGATCACTCTGCTCAACCAGAACACCAAATCCAATGCATCATGAGAATAGCTAGTCCTAAAGACCGTAATAAGTACCAAGATTGACCTGAAAAAGGAAGGTTCCTACCCGGGGAACATCACCCACAATTCCAACATTTACACGAATATTCCTTACAAATGAGACCCTAATAATTTATTCCTATGCAAATCCTAATTTACTGGATGTTAGATACAAGATACATTAATTCACACATAAGTTGCATTTTCATTCTCCTTGAGTTGGAAAAATACTGGGTTTAAGGGTTTCTAATGTTGAATAATTTTCAGTGTCATAGTAATATCTCATATGTGGTCTCTAGAATTTAGAACCTGGTGAGTTGGGAAGATGGAAACCCTTGTGCTATCAAGTTTTTCTCTACTTTACTTCTATTTTGGGAACAGATTCCAAAGCTGTATCAGTTGTGAAAAATGTTGGACTATTGGTATGTTAATATGCTCGTCTGGTCCATTTCCTTTTCACTCTCTTTTCTCATACGTTCCATGCATGCTATTTGCAGCTTTGTTATCAGAGATCAAAGAAATTAGTGAAAAGAAGCAAAAGGAAGAGGATGTACTGCTCACTATTGCTGTCGAAAATAAACGACCTATAATTCCAAATTTGGAATTTGACTACCCTGATCAAGATATTCACGAAGATCTCTATCACCTCATCAAATATGCCTGTAGAGAAATCTGCACCGGGGATCAGTCTGATAAAGTTATGAAGATTTGGACAACCTTCCTGGAGCCCATGCTTGGTATTCCTTCACGGTCTCAGGGTGCTGAGGATTCCAAAGATATCATGAGGGAGAAGAACTGTGCGATTAGAGGTACTGCTATTGGTATGGTTGAGACTAGTGGTAGTCCTATTGGTGGCGTCGCTGAGTCCAAGCTGTCAGATCCTCCCAGAATTGAAGTTGAAAGCATTCCACCTGAACAATCAAGCCCATGCAGGGTTTGGCCCACGAATGGAGATAATTCTCTTGAAGAAGGTAGTTTTCAAAAAGCAAACCGTGTTGACTGCAAGGTTGATGCTCTCTGTAAATTGCAGTTAAATATAGCTAGGACCAATAAATTGCATGGTGTTGACAAACAAGAGCATTCTAACGAGAGGCTGGCAATGTCAAATGTGTTACTTAGCACTGCGCTTGAGCAAGCGAATGGAAAAGTAATCATAGAAAATGCATCAGGTTTGCATTTTAAATTTATTGTTCAATGTTCGTCTTCATCTTTTCTGTGTAACTACTTTAATCTAATGTTTGGTTTTTGGTTTTTTAAGGGCTGCGTTCTACTCCATCCAGAACTTGGAGTGGTAGTGTTGATAAAGGGCTTGAATTAGCATCATCACAGGTATGGTCAATGGCGTGAAACTTTCTTTTAATTGAAACTGCCTTATGCTACTTCTTTCCTGAAAAAGCTTGGATAATTGGCAGTGAAAATATGCATCCCACACATTGTCTTTAAATTTTCACAATACGTCTTACCAGCATTTTTGTTGCAGGGAAATATCTTCACATTAGGTAAATTGCAAATCTACATCTAGAGCTATTAGGATAGTTACAATGTAGGACTATTAGGATTCTATTATTTGGGGATCAAGTTGGCCCTTGCGAAAAACTTGAGCTCACAATGAGAGAGAATTTTAGTTATATAAATTAATATTAAAAATGACATAAGTGAAGAGAAATTTAGTTATATAAAATTAATATTAAAAATGACATAAATGATTACTTGATAGATGAAGTTAAAACTAATTGATAAGTGAGATGTTGAATTCCTCCCGAGTTGATCGGAGGTGTTTTACCAGCTCCTTTATGCGACCTTCTTTGGGGGCAAAGCTAGAATCTTGTGGTATAATTCTGTGGTGGCCTTTTGTGGAGACTTTGGCAGAAAGAAACAAGAGGAATTTTTAGGGAGTGGCTTGTCGTGATGACTTTTAAAATTAAGTTAGGATGTTCTCTTCTATTTGGTGCATTCTTCATTTTGATTTTTGTAATTATGGTTTGACACAAAAATCTTTGCAAATTGGGTCTTGTTTGTAACCCTTTGTGCTGCTGGGGCTCTCCTTTTTTCTAAGTCCTCTTTCTTCTAATTAATGAATTCATATTTTTGCTATCCAAAAAAAAAAATGACAAGTGTGATATTTAATTATATAAACTTAATATTAAAAGGTTTAATTGCCCCTATTGGCAAAGGTTTGGAGTCTCTCAGTCATTCTGGCTTAGAGGTTTCAAGTTCGAACCTTCTGGTGATCTTAATACCAAAAATCCTTGAGGTCTCTCGGGTCCAGGCTTTGGGGCGAGTGCAGGTGCTCTTGGATATAGTGCAGCAAAGCTCCAACTCCCCATTACAGAAAAAAGAAAATTATATATATATATATATATACACACACTATAAGGTTTAATTAACTGATTAGTAATTTATTAGTTCAATTAGCTAATTGCAATTCTGTTTTGATTATCGCCAATTGGAAGAACTTATTTAAGGGAGCAAGGAAGAAATTAATCCTCTTTTCCTTTTTTAAGGGAGTAATTAATGTAAATTGTATTATCTAAATATAGTTTTATATTGTTTAGATTATCTAATATCTTTTAATTGTTAGTTAATATCCTTTCCCTTTTAAATTTAGTTCCTTGATTGTAATTACTGGTGTATTATATCATATTTACCAATTATTGGGTCCTTGGTCGAATAAGAAAATTATGCCTCATAAAACTACAATAATATCTATAGAGCTCTGCTCAAAGCTATTTAGCCTCAATATCCATGGATGTCCCTACCTCAAATGTTCACCTTATCTCTTGTTTAAACAAAAGTCATGGTTCTTTGAGCAATTATATTCAGCCTATTGTTTGGGTTATTTGAACAACAAAACCGTAGAATTTCTGAAGATATTGGAAGGTATCCAGAGGAAGTTTGGGATAATATAGGACTTGTTTGGTAGCATTCTCATTTTCTATTTCTGTTTCCTTCTTTTTAATGAAGAATAATAGAATTGCATGACCCTAAAACTTATGGTTTCAAGAATGATAAAACTATATTTTTATTTATGTTTTGGAACAAATTGGAAAGGAAAACAAGAAAATTGTTTTGTTTGTTTCCAAAATTTCTATACAATTTTTTAGAATGTTTTCAAAAAATGAGAAACAAGAAACATAATTAGTTGCAAAATGTTCAGGTTTCTTAATTAAATTGGAAACAAAAAACAAGAAATAGACGTTATCATAATGTTGCTCTTCTAAGGCTCTTAGCCTTCTCTCAAGGATCTGTTGTAATTATAGCATCTCCTCCATCGATTACAATCAACATTTTTCAGTAAGCCCTCCTAGCCTATTGGAGTGTAATACCATCTCTTGGGGATTTCAATTTTTATATTTCATTTTTTTTAATGAATTAGTTCTGGGTTCTCAATGAATTATCAATTGTATACTTGTACTTTTCCAGATACGTTGGAGTCATCAAACCAAATGACAAATCTCTAAATTACTCTTCAATTATTAATGCTAGGAACATAATCATTATATTTTTGAAAATATGGATATTAAAGCGTCACAGAAAAAACAATATAGAGAGACTAGAGCGTTTCATGAGCCATAATATAGGGAGTGAAATTGTGTTTTAACCTAATTCTTCTCCTGTTGGGAGCTAAAATCTTATCCTCCGACCCTCACGTTTTAAAAAAAAAAATTTATTGATAGAACGTTTGCATAAAAAATAAAAGTGAGATCTATTATAGAAGTCAATACATTTTGTGCTAGCTGAATACTCTTTTGCATACTTCAGGGTGGTGGTTCATCGAGGCCACTATTGTCCAATGGTGTGATTGGGGAAGGCTCAGATGCTCTGGGTGTGAATGAAGAATGTGATGGACATTTGACGATAGAGAGAGAAGAGGGTGAATTATCACCAACAGGAGATCATGAGGATAATTTTTCGAATTATCAAGAAGCTGGTCTGGACAAAACAAAAGACAGTGTCACAGGCAGGCAATGTTTCAGAGCTCGTGTAGAGAAAATATCTTGCAGGGATGTGACAAGGGAAGCTCACGTTGATGCTGATGATGAAGGCGAGGAAAGTGCTCGGCGTTCATCAGAGGATAGTGAAAATGGTTCTGAGAATTGTGATATTTCCGGTACTGAATCTGTTAATGGAGAGGACAGTACTCGTGAAGGGCAGGAAGGCAGGGGGTGCCATGACAATGATAGTAAGGTTGAGAGTGAAGGTGAGGCTGAAGGGATGGATGATGCCCATAGCACTGAGGGTGATGGAACAATATTACCCTTTTCAGAACGTTTTCTACTTAATGTGAAGCCTCTTGCCAAGTACATCCCATTGGCATTACACGGCGAAAAAAATAACTCTCGGATTTTTTATGGAAATGACTCCTTTTATGTTCTATTTAGACTTCACCGAGTACGGTTCATAAATTTGAAGCAATTGTTTAGGATTTTGACTTTATTGAGATCAGTTATGAATGTACCTTTGGATTTTCTATCACACTGACCTTTAACCTCATTTAATTGATCTGGCAGACATTGTATGAGCGGATTCAATCAGCAAAGATTAATTCATCATCTGCGGATAAGAAGTGGAAGGCTTCAAATGATACCGGCCCTAATGATCTCTATTCTAGGTTTGTTTTCCTTTGCATGAATATAATTACTCGTGTCACGTGGTCATTGTAACTTCTAAATGTCTCATTTATGGTTGTAGTTACATGGGAGGGAAGAATCAAACCTATTTGGATTTGAATCTCGGATAAGAGTGTGTTCTGAGATAACTTAAATCTTTTGTCTAGAATTTTGCATATGTAATTTTTCTTCGTTGTTACTTTGTAAGATTGTGATGCAAATGCATGTCATTTACGGGATAATCTGGACCTTATAGTGTCCATTCGTAAAAGTACCCAAGCTTATAGCACCCATTTGTAAAACTTAGTGGGACAACCTATGTTACTGAATATAACGCACGTGTGGAATCAAAATCTTCAACCTATTTAGTGGGAAAAATTGATCGAGAGCTCTAACATCTTTGTCCTCTCTATTAGATATTGCATTCTCAACAATCTCCCTGCTTTCATATCTACTGGCTTTGATTTTGAGGATTCTTCATCTTTTACACATCTTTGATGATTAGATTTGTTCATTATCATTTGACCGTCTCTCAACATGAAACAGATTTATGAATGCACTTTGTAGTTTACTTGATGGCTCCTCTGATACTATGAAGTTCGAGGATGACTGCCGATCTATTATTGGAACCCAGTCATATCTTTTATTCACTTTGGACAAGTTGATTTTTAAACTTGTTAAACAGGCAAGATTTCTCCGTAGTAGATGTTTAACTTCTCAGTCATTCTGTTTCTGCTTTGTTGTGCTTTTGACCTGAAAGGTTATTTCAACACTATTTTCAGCTTCAAACAGTTGCTACTGATGAGATGGATACCAGGATTCTCCAATTATATGCCTATGAGAATTCTAGAAAACTTGGAAAATATGTGGACACAGTTTATCATGAAAATGCCCGCGTGCTTCTTCATGACGATAGCATATATCGCATAGAATGTGTAAGATTTTGCGATTTACTTGTCTTGTGGAATGATGACAAGGATTGACTCAAAGTTTGTACCTTTATACCGCTCTCTTAACGCTTATAATGTTTTCTTTTCTTCTTTCCACCAGTCATGCACTCCAGGGCATCTATCAATTCAGCTAATGGAGTTCGGCAACGATAAGCCTGAAGTTGCGGCTGTTTCACTGGATCCCAATTTCTCGGATTACCTGCATAATGACTTCCTCTCCATTCTCCCTGACAAGAAAGACAAGTCTAGAATCTACTTGAAGAGGCATGCAGATTATTCACGAACTCATACTTTGCTATTACCATTATCTGGTTTCGACAATAACACTTATTTTTTTCTCCTCAGAAATAAATGCAAGTATGCCTGCAGGGATGAAACTTCTGCTGCATGCCAGGCCATGGAAGAACTTCAGATTCTTAATGGTCTGGAGTGTAAAATCACTTGCACTTCATCGAAGGTGTTCCGATAGAATAGTTCTTTTTTCTTTTTTTTCCCACTTTCTAAACGGTATCTTAACAAAATTATTTTAAGAAAACCAACTTTAAATGAAAGTAAGAAAGAGACAGCCATAGAAAGACAGTCTCAAAACACGCAAAGAGAGCATTTCAAGGGCGGGGAGACCAAAGCTGATATTATTTCAGAGTTTATTGTGATGATTTTAGATGTAGATCTGATATTCTAATTAATTTGTCTAAACTTTCAGTTTTGCATCTGATAGGTCTCGTACGTTTTAGACACAGAAGACTATTTGTTTCGCAGAAAAGGCAGAAGGAGAAGTTTACATAGAAGTGGTTCTTGGCATCCCCACCAATCAAGGTCTTCAAACAGTGGTTTTCGTAGAGGACAACAATATCAAAGATGGCTATCGCCGAGCTCATGAAGCACTTCCTATACGACCAGCGCACTAATATGTAGGCGAATTCTTATTTTATGTTAGCACCATATTGGTCTCTCCTTTTCGCACTAATGTCCCGTTGGCTCTTATTTCTGAGTTGCGTCACTGAAGCAAAGCAAGCAAGAGAAAATCTGAGATGGCGTTGTGTGCATATCTTAGGTTTCCAACAGCAGAAGAATACAGGCAGGCGTAATAGAAAGAAGCTCAGGAAATTGGCAAGACAAGCTGATTGTGATGTTAGCCATTATTTGTCTGTAACAAGACAATTTACAACAAATACAGTTGAGGGAAGTGAACTTGGATCCAGGGCTGTCTGTATTCATATTCACAGTTGGTACACGTGCACGTACACATACACAAACACGTATAGCAGTCTTATGTGACAAAATCTTGTAAATAGAGGTAATTTGTGATGTGAAAAAGTCGAGAGAAACTACACATACAATTCCACATTTCATTCATTCTGGTTTCTTCAATAAATAAGTTGTATTTGTATACAGGAGATGGTTGCGTCGTGCATCTATTATTAAATTTGTTGAGGCCACTGTCAAATCTCTACCATGTACAATGAGTGAATAACTAGGGATTTATGTCTTTTGTTTTCGAGTGTTTTTGCCATACGATTGGTTGATTGATTGATTGTTTCATCAGTAGATTCATATGGTAAAATGTAGATATGGATATAATTTCATGTACCAATCATGGTCTATTCATGCTAGTAATCTTGATTCAAAAATAGAAGTTTACAATTTACAACACGTTGTACAACAACTTGAACCTCCACAGTTTCCAAGAAAAAAATTAATTTGTATCCTTAAAACTTAGCAGCTTGATTCACTTTAAACTCTAAACTAATATTTATCTTTAAAATCTTAAATTTACATCAAGTTTCATCTTTTATTAAATTCCATTAGTAGATTGTAATTTAGATTGGCAATTATCGGGTGAATGTTGCTGTTTTATTTTTTATATTAAAAGAGACGGAAAAAAAGCATAGTATTTTTTTTTTATTAATGTCTTTATTGACAGTGAGAAAAACAACTACCTACCTCATATTATTTATCAGAATTTGAAATTCTAGCGAGAAAAAATGTAGCGTTACAGACCGAACTACAAGCTTGTGGAATTTCACACGTGCATCACCAATTATGCTAAGATTTTTTTTCCCCTGAGTGTCTAGACCAGCTTACATACACCTTGATTAATCTCACGAGCAATTATTTGATCTTACAACAATTTATGCCAGGAAATATATCGGAATTACTAATTCTTAAGGTAGGTGGTCATCATGCAGTTTGAAATTTATGTTAAGTTATTAGTTTTAAAAATACGAAAAGTTGAATTGAGGGTCATTTGAAGACTACTGATTTATGTTTTATATTACAAAGGGAGGGAAAAAAAGGGTCAAATGTATGTTGCATTTGCTTGTTCATCTTTGCAAATTAAGATATAAAATCGTAGGAAGAAGACTCGGAAAAATGTCTACACAATTTGAAAAAGCGAAGCTCTGAAGTAAAACAAAATTATTATGCTGGATGTAACTCTTGCAGTGGCTCCACAAATAAAGCTAGACGAGACCTTGCCAGCGAGGACAACATTGTTGTCATTGCAAGAATCCCTTTATGTAGCAACAATAAGAACAGAACACCTTAGTTGTAGCAATTGGATGAGAAATTGACAGATTTGACCTAAAATAATTTTTGATTTGCTCAATTGTCCTAAATTTGAGAATTTAACTTTACTGACCCAATTTACCTTTTTCAATAAAATAATGTAGGGTTAAATTACGATTTTAGCCTCGATATTGCATGTAAACCATGGCGTATGAGTGAATTTCAACGAAACATGAACCCCGGCCGTGATCGAACAAACCACGGTCTCCTCTGAAATGGCGTGAAATTGAATTTACAAGTATACCCCCAATTTTAAATTGTAACTGTTGGTATCCTCCTCTTCTTCTATCCCTCCATTTCTTGCACTTTGGGTTACCCTTGTTTTCATTTCTTCCATCTTGCAAATCTTCCCTTGCCAACATAGTTCTTGGTTTTTTTTTGCTTTGCTCTGAATCTCATCTCATGAGTGAAGCGCTAAGGTTAGGTATTTTATTTTTTTGGTATTTGCGTCGCTGTTAGGGTTAAAGGAACAACTTTTTTCGCTTTATTTTCTGTGCGGCTCTTCATATTTCTTCCCTCTCCCCTTACTTTTGCATTGCCTTCGGTGGATTCAGTTGTAGGGCTCAATTTCGGCACTATCTTAATTGTTTTTTGGTTGATATCGTTTGCGGGCGTGGTTAGTAGTTCATTTACCGATTTAGGGATTGCGTTTTCTTGTGGGTCTATGTGTTTTCTGTGGGTCTGTGTACAATTGGAGATTTGTTGGAAATTTGTAGGATTTTCAACCGTTGAATCTTGCTTTCGTTAAGGATTATGAGGTCGTGACTGAGAATTTATACAGAATAGCAATTCCTACGAAGATGGGCTTTCATTGGACATATAATTTCAACCCCGATCACGGCCGTGGTTGGACCAAGAATTTCGACAGTTTTATGCTATTTTTTTTTCTGTGGTTTGTTGTTTTTTTTTGACATATGTATTTGTGGTTAGCTTATATGTATGTAATCTTATTATTTTTTTTTTCAGGTTCATAGGATGGTAATGATACCTAAGATCCCCCTCTAGCTATCGCTCTGCCAATCTGACCTACCTATCCCACTTAGGGAGTACGGTCAAGTCGATTAAGAGTAAACTAACCCCTAGACAACTTAGTATGTTTAGGAAGACTATTTTTGGTCATTTGCTAGATGTGGACCTTGTACTTAACGGGCCACTTATACACAATCTATTGCTTAGGGAAGTGGAGGATGATAGACACGATGTGATTACCATGGATGTGCTTGGTAATAGGGTCTCCTTTGGGTTGAGGGAATTTTACCTAATCACGAGACTAAAGTATAATACGAGGCCGATTCGTAAGGACACTTACCCCGTCAGGCTTAGCACGTTGTACTTTGATGACAAAGTTGACATTCTACTAAGTGAGCTGGAGACGAAGTACATGGAGCTGCAGTTTGAAAATGACTTAGATGTGATGAAAGTATCAATTGCATTTTTTGTGGAGCTCGTGTTGTTTGGCAAGGAGAGGAGTTTGAAGTTCGACACGAGCTTATTAGGAGTTGTGGATGACTTAGAAGTATGTTGTATTTACGATTGGGTCGAGATGGCTTTCGATAAGACCATAAAATGTCTTAATCGAGTCCTGTTGAGTAAGGCAAAAGATGGTGGGTTGAGAAAGACGTATAGTCTTTATGGTTTCCCATGGGCATTCCAAGTATGTGCATGTACTGTCCATGATTTCATTTATATTATTGTTTGTTTATTATTTATGATATTGTACGGTCATGGATACAGGTGTGAGGATACGAAACGATATCTTCGTTGATTGGGCGGGTTGCACATCGAGTATGACCTGATGCTGTCCCACGCATACTTAGGTGAAAGTGCGGTCATTCACCTACGTGGGCTGTTATGGAGAAAGAGATATTCCAATCAACATCTGTAAGATTAACTCAAACTTGTACGTAACATTCAGATTAGTTTAGTTTCATATAATGTGGCCTCAGTGTGACAACCATGTGCATGCTAAGGTTGCCATTAGACTGTTCGAGACGGAAGCGGAGGAAAGGTTCATGCAAAGGGTATTCAACCCACCATCAGCTGACGATTTTGTAGACGAGGACCAGGCGTTGGATCAAGTGGCGCCTTCAATGGAAGGTGTTGGCGTGCAAAATGATGGCACACATGGTGATCAAGCGGTTGAGAAGATGGACGTCGAGGTGAAGGGTTAGGATAAGATGAAAACTGGGAAGAGGTCTTTTAGTCGCTACAAATGTAAGTCCAAGTTGAGAGCTCTCACTGGCCAGGTGGCTGCTATAGACATGCGGCTTGCCGGTGTAGAAGAGGTAGTCTCTTCTATGAATGATCGGTTTAACGACATGGAAGGTGACTTGAAAACTATTCGAAAGTTCTTGCGGCGTCTAGTTAAGGTTCGTAACCTACTAATATTGTCTACATGTCAAATTGTTCTTCTCTGACACTGCGTCTGCTGTATACAGGGGCTACCAGTTGATACCTCGAAGCTTAGAAAAAACACCAATGGAGATAGAGATGGCAATGGCAACGGATATGCCGATGGAGCTGGAGATGCTAGTGGTGGGGGCATGAAGGAAACTAATCTTAGAGAACGTAGTGTTGATGCGAAGGAAACGAAGCCTACCAAACGAAACTGTGAGGTTGGAGAGCCCTTCGAAGCATTGGAGGATGAAGAAAGATCTCGAGAGGTTCGAGATGTATCAAAGGAGCCTGATGAAGGGGTGCGTTCAGAGCCAAGTGCACATGCTCAAGAGGAGCCAAGTGCACACATATCGGACGCTGCTAAAGCATCTGTCGAGTTACCACTCCCATGGACACCTGGGTAAGTATGCATTACAATGTTATTATGTGGTGTATTTAATGTGGTTGAACTGAGGTAATATATATTTACTGGTTTATGACACAATAATGGAGGACTTATCAGAAACGGATTCCGACGAAAGTATCCAAATCCAATCACAATTGCCAGTAAGCTCGTCTGCCATGGTGCACGTTGATTCACAGGACGTGAGAGTTCTATCCCAGCCATTTGACCCCCCTCCACCTCGTTGGGGTGAACGTAAGAAGAAAGTACCTTGGAAGTTTCATGGGTCTTTTGAAGTTAAGGTGGGCAGTAAACGAAAGAAGGTGATCGTTTACAATCCATTGGCTGAGATCTTGAAGGAGCAAGATAAGAATTTTAGCACGTGGCTAGATAACCCGAAAAACACCTGTTCAACTTGGAAGACTGTCTACGCAAGTCGAGGGAAGCAGTAGTTCCGCGACATTCTAACACCCCTTAAATGGTGCTCATGCGAGGTATGACTATAGTCCATACCATGTGTACCGTACGATTGCATGGAATCGCATAACTATTTGATTGCTCTTCACAGGTTGTTGATTCTTTGGTGATGTTTGTGCGTAAGAAGCTCGAATTGCAACCAGACTTCTGTCGTCGAAAGTTTACCACCGGCGACGTAGTATTTGCGGTAAGTTTCCTTATTCAACAATGGTTCATAAACTAGACGGTTGCATATCATCTAATATTATTCTTGGTTACAAAACTTTCTTAGAAGAACTGATAGTGTTTACGCCTGTATGGAATCTCATAATGCCCTGCCCTAAAAGGTTACAATTGACTTTGATTGGGAGGGACAAGCCAAGACTGTGCTTAGTTACGTAGATTGTACTCACCCCGATTACGACACACGGTGGATGGATGTCGATGCTGTATATATTCCCTACAATATTGGTGGAACCCATTGGATAATGGTGTGCATTGACTTCGAGGAGGGTGAGTTGACGTGTGGGGCTCCTTCATGGCCATGACACCGCTGCCAAATTTGGAAGATGAGTTGAAGCCGATGCGAACAATCATTCCAGCTCTTATTTGCAGGGTCGGTGTTCGGTTAGTAAGGTCGAATATCCCAATCACACCATGGTGCATACGTAGAGTTTCATCGGCACTTAGCAAGAGGGAGATGGAGATTGTGGTATATTTTGTGTAAAGTACTTTGAATACGATATTACGAATTGTAGCTTAGATACTTTAACACAGGCTGGGATGCCCTTCTTCAGACGACAGTTCGCTGTCCAGCTATGGGCAAACAAATCAATTTTCTGAATAGTACTATTTGATCTAGTTTATTTTGTTTCTATTGTAATCTCCTAACTATTTTGTTGCTAATGAATAGTATCCTTTATTGACTCTACCATTTAGTTTATTGACTAAAGAAATGCTAAAACCCCGTTCAAAGTATATTCACAACTTCGACCATGGTGGATGTCGGTTACATAATTCTCGACCGGGAATTTTTTCAGAACACGTGAATAAGGCACACATCCAGTACTCAACAAATGTCTAAATAGAACTCCCAGCTAGGGTGGAAGAATTTACGAGCCATGAATTTTTCCTATGTCATTTTTTTTTCAAATAATAACGCAATTCACATGATCGTATCTATCCCGGCCGTATTTAATGTAATTCATGCCTGGGAAATATTCCATATTAACATTTTAAGGTCTATACGAGATATAAAAAGTTGACATAACAAAATAAACATGGTAGAAAGTTTTACATTATAGTATAACGTTACAACGAATCTAAATAGAGTACAACGTTTTACACACCATCAACGTCTGATACAGTAGTTCTAAGTGGCTGACGACACGTTTTTTTATTGTGTCCCATGTTGCCACATCGACCACATTTGTGGAATTGGCGGGTCTCCCCGACCGACGATATTCGTACAGTTTGGCGTTGGCCAACATGTTTTACAATTTTGGATGGCTCCACTTCAACCTCCACGAAGTCATCAGGTAAAATCCAGTCATCTATATCGTTGGGAGGGTACACAGATTCGGCATATGCGGTAATTAGAGTTTGCAGACTATATGTAGGAGAGCATAGGGTATACCTGTTCACGTTCCGAAGGGTTGCTACTGCAATAGCATGGGAGCACGGGAACTGGAAGTAGTCAAACTGTTTACATCCACATGTCATTGTATTTAAATTCACACGCACCATTTTCAGTCCATCGCTCACGTCGAACTCATGATGGTTAATGGGTATCACGGGGTGTGTTTGAGCCACGTTCTCTGCAGTACGCATCTTTGTCTCACCATAGTCAGTAAGGATAGTTTCGCGACTAGATGCATATGTTCGCCTCTCGTAAAACCACCACTGCAACAGCGCTCGAACATGTTCAAGAAGTGCGGTTACTGGCAATGCACGTGCATGTACAACGACTGCATTCATAGACTCCGTAACGTTGGATGTCATTTGGTCGTACCTCAATCCTGGTTGAAATGCACGTGTCTATTTATGAAGACCGATTCCTTCCAAATACCTTTGGACTTCTGGAAATCGTGCAAGTTGGGAGAAATAGTATGTAAACTCTGACTTCCGGAATGCCTTTGCTGCTAGGATGAAATTTTCTTGAATAACATCGTTCTTGAATTTGTCCTTCAAGTTTGTGGACAAGTGCTGCATGCAGATTCCGTGGGATGCGTTCGGAAAAACATCTCTAACGGATTTTGTACTGGTCATGTGCCGGTCAAATACAAAAAAGGGTCCATCAATATCTCCAATATAACGTTTAACCATTTGTAGAAACCAAGTCCAGGATCCATCACTCTCCTGATCAACAATTCCAAACGCAACAGGATAGATTTGGTTGTTACCGTCCACAGAAGAAGCAATAAGGATAACACCTTTATATTTACCCTTTAGATGTGCACCATCTATCACTAGCACTAGGCGGATACAACTGGAGAACCCTCTAATACAGCAACCGAGAGCCATGAAGGCGTACTTGAAATACTTGTCCTCCTCCAACTCCATTTCAAAAATAGTTCATGCGTTAACAACCTTCAGGGCTTCTCCATACTTGCGTAACAGAGTATAGGACTCTTTGGGTGATCCCATCAACAAATTCAATGACACATTTTTTGCCTGCCATGCCTTTTCATATCTCATGTTAACCCCATAAGTCTTTCGCATGTTGCTAATAATGTCCTTCGGCCTGTACTGACGGCTTGCATCTTCTAAATTGGACTTCAATAGCTTACTGACCACCTAACTCCCAGCTTGCCTGTGGTCATGGTTCAGAACCTCACGTCTGTAGTTGTGGACGTCGATATACATCGAAATGATGAATGACTCACCACCACGGATGCTCTTCGCACGCAAACCCCATTTGCAACCTTCCTTCGTACATCTGACAGTGTACAATGTCTTCGTTGATTTTTTTACCTTAAATTCAAAGTTATGCTTCATATCTAACACAGACAGCTTAAAGCGTAGTTCTTCCTTCGAACGAAAAACACCCTTGACAGCAATCTCACTTACACACTCAGCCACATCACCAGTTTTGATATTCTGCATTGGACGAGAAGCTAATCCTTCAAATGTGGGCTCAGGTGCGTTAGCACTCACGGGATACGACTCATTTACAGGTTGACCTTCATTCTCAAAATGTTCTTCGCTGACGTCCTGGTTATTGTTGTGATACTCATTCCCACCATCGTTATCAAAGTCCATTTTAACATGCTCGTCATCAACCCCATCCTCAGTATGATTCTCGTCATAATCGTACTCATCGCCGTTCTGAAAGTCATACTTGACATCATTGTCGTACAATGACCCATAATATGGTGATTCGTCATTGCCTTGGTTACATGGGACAACATTATTGGTCAGTGGTGTAATATGTGGGACAAATGGGGGGACAAGCATCATGCAAGAGAGTAAATAGAATGTGACGGACCAAAACAAGGATCAGCTTGACTTGGGTAGTATGGGAATGAAGACGATGTCTGCGTTTCCAAAAAAATATTTCCTCGGTTGCTACCACCACCATATGTTGCTTTCGATAGGACAATTATATACAAGGGCACCTGAGGAGGACCTGGAGGGTCATTTGTTTTGAAAACCAAATATATATACACACTGTATCACAATGTCAAATTGGTCAGGATCAATTCTAGTAAACCTGTACAACTCACTTACTAGGTTGGAAAATGTTATCATTTCATCAACTTCAAGACCACCCATAATGCCACCTATGTACATTGTACCAGCCTCATTCCACTTGCTACCGTAGATCACAAATATTCGACGCATTCTACATAAATTTACATCACACAACAATTAGTTACATCAACTTTGCAAACACGGTCCAATAATACAACTATCACGACAGACTTAACATATAAGAAAATTAATTTACATTTATGGCCGAGGTAACTTATAACCACGATGGGGAATGATTATCTAACAGCCCTGGCCGAGGTAACTTACAACCACGGTCGGGAATGATTATCTAACAACCCCGACCGGGAATCGTATAACCATAGCCGGAAATCAACCATTATATAAAATTTTCTTGTTTTCCAGAAAATTAACTTTCGACCTCAACAACATAAAACACCTTCGTAATGCATCAAAAACAATACTTTGAACAAATAAAAAACTAACCTCGTTGAACCTATCGAAGATGAAGAAATGGCTTTCTTTCAAGTGTTGAAAGTGTTAAGCATGTTGCAAAAGGTGTGAGATTTCTTCAAAAAAACGTGCAACATGTGAATAAGGACAATAAAGATTGAAAAGGAAGGTCTTTTTCTCTCTCATATCAGTTCGAAGGTAGAAGAATGTATTTAATGAAAGTACAACAATTTGGTGGGGGAAATAAATACATTGGTTGTAAATAAATGAAATCCCAGCCGTGAAGCAGTTCGACCCCGGCCGTTAATTAATTAACTTCAATGCGGTACTTTGTCCTTTCTTCTGTCAAAAGTGAAGGACATGTTCGTCTTTACACACTCTCTAAACTGTCAGAAAAAATTAAATTGGGTTAGAAAAGTTAAAAATTGTATTTCAGGTCAATTTAGCAAATCAAACTATTTTGGGTCATGTCCATTTCCCCAATCGGATCTTCAATTTTGTAATTGAAGTCAAGTATTTTTAATAGAAATAAAATAAAATTTTTCTTATTTGGAAAATTTTTAATTAATTTACAATCAATCTTTTAAAATCATATATTTTGTTTCCCTTGTTTTGAGTTTGGTTAATTAATAGGAAAATCGATTTTTATCATTTAGGTTTAATTACGTGACTTTTTTTCTTAATAATTTAGATTTTTATTTTTGCTATAAATAGGAACTAAGTGGGCTAGGTATTTGCACTATCGTGAAGAGGATGAGAACTTAGCTAGGCCGCGGCAGTTTAAAAACCCCTAACCTAGATTTTTCTTCAATCGATTTTTTTTTTACCATTTTTTTTATTGACTTACATCGGAACACTATAATAGGACAAATTTGCTATCTTTCTTGACCTACATTATAGCAAGTGGGGCAATTAACTATTTTTATTATTCTCACTCATATATTTGTCATCTTCATATAATTTTAACACCTTTAAGAAATTCGGACTCGAATTGTAACAACCCGACTTTTTGGTAACTTAAGCTGCCTAAGGTGGTTACTACATGCATAGTTTTAACATTTAAAACCCTTTAAAAAAATAATATATAGTAGATTACACTTTCATAAAATAACTTTAGAAAATAATTAAAAAATTTTATTTGACATCCCATAAAAATTTACATAAATCACAATAATAAAATAAATAACTTTTAACAAAAAAGTTGAGATAATGAAAACAAATGCACAAGAAAAACTGTGGCACAACCAGTAGCAAACATCCTTATACGTCTTTGTATGTCTTTGTTATTCCTTAGAAAAATAAGGCGAAAATTGTGAGGATTAAAAATACTCAGTAAGTAACCCAGCTAACCTTCTTTAGAGGAAGAAGAAATCGCAAAATCTTATAATTTACAATCAAGTCATTTAATATTTCTTTCTTTAGAGTAGGGTCAGAGATGCATACACCTACATAACATGTAACGTAAATATGTGACGCTCAAATATTTTAATAGTCAAACTCTTTTATTTTCCTTTTCCTTTTTGGCCAAATGTGGACAATGAACTCATTGTTTAGTTATGAGTTTTTTCTTGTAACTCAAATTTAATTTTCAGTTTTTATTTCTTTAAGTTTCTTTATTTTAATTGTTAGATTTAATTTTCAGTTTTTTATCTTTTAAGTTTCCTTTTTATGAATTGTAAGTTTCTCAATTTTAATGTTGGTAAGTTATGTATTTTCTACACCTATATAAGGGTGAACTTCCATGAGAAGTTTGTATCACCAACATTTTTGCTTTCATTTGTTTATTCACAATTTTGTACCACTTCAATTAGAAGTTGATTTTTCCTTCTATTGAATTCTACTCTCTCACATTTCATATTTCCTTATTTTTCATCAAACATTGAGATTTTTACTATTGCTTCCGCATTATTTTTATCACTTTCATTTTCTCAATAGTGGTATCAGAGCCAAGTTTAAAGGGCTGTGATTTTATTTGAGGGATAGAAATTCCAATTTCTTATTTGATAATGTCTTCAAATTTTGGTGTTACCTCTGCTCCAAATTTTAGTGGTGAAAACTACCAATTTTGGGTTGTTAAAATGCAATCCTATCTCAAAGTACTTGGCATTTCGGAACCAGTTTCAACAGATGCTGATCTCGAGCCATTGGTAGAAAATCCAACATTGAATCATATCAGATTACATGAAGAGGAGAAGTTAAAGAAGCCTAAAGCTTTATCTATAATTCATGCTTCTTTATCTGATCCTAAATTTGCTAAAATTATTGATTGTAAAATAGCAAAAGAAGCTTGGGATAAATTACAGGAGAAATTTGAAGGAAGTGCAAGGGTAAAAGCTGTCAAATTATTAACTCTCAAAAGAGAGTCTGAGAAGCTTAAAATGAAAGATTAAGATTCTGTAAAGGACTACACAACTAAAGTGATGACCATTGTGAACTAGATCTAACTATCTGGTGAAGATTTTCTAGATCAAAGAGTTGTGGAGAAAATAATGGTTAGTGTTCCTAGCAAATTTGAATCAAAGATCCCAACAATAGAGAAGTCTTCTAATATGACTACTCTTTATATAGCTGAGTTAATTAGCAAGTTACAAGCCCAAGAATAGAGGGATACAATACGTAGCGAGGAGCATGTTGAAGGTGCATTTAATGTCAAGTTTAAAGGCAAGAAACCTGCTGCACAAGATGATAAAAAATCAACCAAAGATCGGGGGAGCAAGGGAAAAGGAAGAGTGTCAAATAATGGTAAATTTCCTCCTTGTCATTTTTTGTAAAAAGACCAATCATGTTGAGAAGGATTGTTGGTACAAAAACAAACAAGTGTACTATTGTGACTATTGCAACAAGGATGGTCATATGGAGAAGTTTTGTTATGCCAAACAAAACCAAGCCCAAAATCCCCAGCAACAAGCAAATTGTGCAGACAACAACCTGGAAACAAATTTGTTGTTTGTGGCTTCTCATATAAGTAACAACGAGTCAACCTCATGGCTAATTGACAGTGGATGCACTACCCATATGGCTAAAGATATCAATCCTTTTAGCCAGATTGAAAAATCTATACAGTCTAAGGTGGTTCTTGTACATGGCGAGACAATATTAGCTGAAGGTAAAGGTACTGTTGTCATGCATACTAAGCAAGGTGAAAAGATACTATCAAATGTTTTATATGTTCCAAGATTATCTAAAAACTTGCTTAATATTGCTCAATTGTTGCATAACAATTTTTTTGTGGTTTCTAAAGATCAAGATTCCGCTATTTATGACCCTCATGGAGTAGAGATTGTAAGGGTCAAAATGATTGGCAATGCTTTCTTTTTGAATGGTGACTCACCATGTCATCATGCTCTAAATGCCAAAGTGGAAGAAAGCAAAAAATGACACCGTCGCTTTGGGCACTACAACAACAAAGCTTTGCAAATTTGCATTCTTCTAACATGGTTGATGATTTTACCAACTTTGTCTCATTTGATCAGATTTGTGAAAGTTGTCAGAAGGGAAGAAGCACACACTACCTTTTCCAAAAGGTGGAAATTTTAGAGCCATAGAAAAGCTCGAATTGGTTCATAGCAATGTTTGCGGTCCCATGCGTAAAGCATCTATTGGGAATAATAAATATTTTATTCTTTTTATTGATGATTTTTCCAGGATGACTTGAGTATATTTTCGATTGAAAGAAGTCAAGCTTTTTAAATTTTCAAGAAGTTTGTGAATCTTGTCGAAACTCAAAGTGGCTGTAAGTTCAAAACTTTGAGAATAGACAATGGGAAGGAATATACTTCCAAGCGATTTGACAAGTTTTGTAAAGACTTGGGAATCCAACACCAACTGTCCATTACCTACACGCCTCAGCAAAATGGTGTTTCAAAAAGGAAGAACAAAACTGTGATGTAGTTGGCAAGATGTTTACTCTTTGGGAAGAAATTGCCAAAGAAATTTTGGGCTGAAGCTGTATGTGCTGCTATTTTCTTGCTCAATAGACTTCCTACAAGGGCAGTTAAGGACAAGACTCCTTATGAAGCTTGGTCAGGTAGAAAACCTTCCGTTAAAAACTTGAAGATTTTTTGATCTATATGTTACCCTTTTGTTCCTTCTATTAAGAGATCTAAACTTGATGAGAAGGCAATTAAAGGAGTATTTATTGGCTATTCCTCTGATTCAAAAGGGTATAGAGTTTTTTATTTGAACACCGAAGAGGTTATCTTGATTCGTGACGTCATTGTTGATGAAGATTCTTATTGGAATTTTGAGGAGCATAAAATTGTCAGAGACTTACCCACAAATTTTGAAAATTTAGAATAGATTGAATCTTCTTTTGATTCAATTGACTCTAATGATCAAGATAACCAAGATCCTCATTCGAATGATGATGATCTTGTTGATGCAACTGGTGATGGTTCAAATTACAAGGTAAGATTACTAGCTGATGTATATGAAAGTTGTAACTTTGTTATTGTTGAACCAAATAACTATCATGAAGCATCATGATCTACGGAATAGATCGCTGTTACGAAAGCTGAATTGGAGATGATCAATAAAAATAATACATGGGAGCTTGTAGACCAACCACAAGGTAAGAACACTTTAGGTGTGAAGTGGGTGTTCAGGGTGAAGTATAATTCCGATTGTTCAATAAAAAAATACAACTTGGATTTGACTACGAAGATACATTTGCTCCATTTGCACGACATGCCACTATACGACTGATTATTGCTTTAGCTGCACAATTGGGGTGGAAAATATTCCATCTCGATGTAAAATAAGCTTTCTTGAATGGTGACCTTGAGGAGGAGATTTATGTAAGTCAACCCGAAGGGTTTGTAAAAGTAGGCAAAGAAGAGAAAGTATATCATTTGAGAAAAGCTCTTTACGGCCTAAAGCAAACACCTCGAGCTTGGTAGAGCAAAATTAATTCATATTTGATCCTTCAAGGTTTCAGGAGGAGTTTGAGTAAAACCACTCTCTATGTTAAGATTGGTGAAAACTCCAATCAACTCATTCTTTCTCTTTATGTTAATGATATGCTAGTAATTGGAAATGATTATCAAATACTTCAAGATTTTAAAGTTGAGATGGAAAAAATGATTGAGATGTCAGATCTCGTTACATGCATTATTTTCTTGGTATGGAAATCCATCAAGAAGACAAGGGTATTTTTATTGCCTAAAGAAAGTATGCTCAAGGAATTTTGAAGAAATTCAAGATGGAAACATGTAAAGCTGTTTCTACTCATTTAGCAATAAATTTGAAAGTTTTGAAGAATGATGGTGAGAAGTTTTCAAATCCTACAAACTACAGAAGTGTAGTAGGAAGTCTCTTGTATTTGACGGTATCTAGACCAGACTTAATGTTTGCTGCGAGTTTACTCTCAAGATATATGAATTCACCTACTGAAGTTCATTTTGGTCTTGCTAAAAGGGTCTTTAGATACTTAAAAGGTACTCTTAATTTTGGAATCTGGTTTGATTGTACAGGTGATTTGACATTGATTGGATATGCTGATAGTGATTGGGCTGGTTATGTTGATGACTCTAAAAGTACTTATGGCTATGTTTTTTCTTTTGGCACCGGAGTTTTCTCTTGGAAGTCAAGAAAACAAGAAGTGGTGGCTCAACCTACTGCTGAAGCTGAATATATTTTAGCTGCATCAGCCGCAAATCAAGCAATATGGCTTCGCAAATTGCTTGATGATTTAGGATTCAAACCAGAGGAACCTACGACATTATTTTGTGATAACAAGTCTGCTATTGCTATTGCCTTAAATCCTGTACAACATGGTAGAACAAAGCACATTAAAGTCAAATTTCATTTATTGAGGAAAGCAGAGAATGTAGGCGAAATCAAGCTCATTTTTTGTAGTTCTGAAGAACAACTTGCTGACATTCTCAAAAAAGCTTTACCACACAGACAATTTGTGTTTCTGCACCAAAAGTTGGGTGTGACAAAGAAAAATCTCAAGCAGGAGTGTTGAGTCATGAGTTTTTTCTTGTAACTCAAATTTAATTTTCAGTTTTTATTTCTTTAAGTTTCTTTCTTTTAATTGTTAGATTTAATTTTCAGTGTTTTATCTTTTAAGTTTCATTTTATGAATTGTAAGTTTCTCCATTTTAATGTTGGTAAGTTATGTATTTTGTACACCTATATAAGGGTGAACTTCCATGAGAAGTTTGTATCACCAACATTTGTACTTTCATTTGTTTATTCACAATTTTGTATCACTTCAATTAGAAATTGATTTTTCCTTCTATTGAATTCTACTCTCTCACTTCGTATTTCCTCATTGTTCATCAAACATTGAGATTTTTACTATTGCTTCTGCATTATTTTTATCACTTTCATTTTCTCAATGCTCATCATTCATAAATAGTACAACTTCATTTAGGTGCATAAGCGGGTTTCGTGGGAGACTGTTGGTTACGGTTTAGAACCCTTTGTGCAAGTGTACACAACTGTTGTAGCAAGTGATAAAAAGATTGTCTCCACAGGGATTGATAACTAAACACTTCAAAAATTACTTAAGAAATAAACAAATTAACAAAATATGTTTTGAACAAGAAAAACTAAAAGAACTCAAACAAAATAGTGCATATATGATTTGCTGAGTAAAAACAAGTCAGAACCAAGCAAAACCAAATCGATTAAAGGAAAATATACAAACAAGAGGTTAATTACTTTAAAAGGGTAATGGGGAAGAGTTTGATTGACTTTTTCTGGGCTACTCTAATGATGCTGTAGCATTAACGATGTTTGATATACTGGCCAAACAGACACGAAATCTTCTCAGATTTTCAGATTTTCTGCTATTCATGTTTTTAGACAAACTTGACAGCATATATACTCAGTTTATAACCTTGCTAGGTGAGCTTTATTCCTTAGTACCCACACTCTAAACTCAAGTAGATCTAGCACGAGTTGAAGCCAAACACATCCAATTACAATTTTCCAAGAGTTAATAAGAAGAAATTCCAATATATTGGCCAAGCACACTGAAAATAAAACGTTAAAAACAACTTCAACTCAGTATATATATATCATCATTAAAGTCAAAACAAAGTTTATAGCCCAAGAATAAATTCACAACATCCTCCCCCTTACAAATAAACTTAGCTACTCAATGTTATACAAGAAAAGAGAAGAAGAAAATACAAAACTGTGAACTTAAGAGTGCAAAAGAAGAAGAAAATGAAGAATAACAGCAACTCTTCTCTCTTTTTTGTCTTCTTCAACGGTTTCTTGGGAGCTTTCTTCAATTGAGAATGAAGTGATGGGATGGAGAATCTTGGAGAGTTGTTTGAGGCAACCCTAATTGCAAGCTTTTAAACCCTCTTGATTTTAGGCAACTCAAATGATAAAGTGACCCCCAGCTCAGCATATCAGGCACTTTTCCGTTTTATTGCAGTAATTTCTCGAGTAAAAGCTGTAAATGCAAACTCTGCCTTTTTCTGCCTTTTGACTCCGATTCTGCAGCATCAACGATGCTGCAACAAAACATTCAAAATTAGGTCTTTCTTAATAACTCTCAACATCATATGCAAATGCAGGGATGTTAGTAAATATGAAACGTTATTTGCACAAAATCAGTGTAGAATGGGTGTTAGTGTGGCTATCCTTAGCTAATTTATATAGAATTCTTGCACAAATAACTCTCTCTTGGAGAGTTATCAGAGACTCAACCCCAGCTGATTGTAGTTTGGCACCTATTTAGTGAACCAGGTCTCACCCAACATAGCGTCTCAATTTAAATTCAGTCTACTTTAAAATGAGGGGAACTGCCACAAACTTTTCGAAAATATTTCGATACCAAAATGTTAAGAAACCCTTAAGAGTTGAATCTAAGAACCTTGCTAACAAACAAGACCCATAGAACTCAATCGCAACCTAGAAACAAGTATGAAATCAACCTAAGGAAAAGTGAAGAACATATTGTCTTGATGATCAATATCAAGAGTAGAGAAAACTCGTTTCTAAACTCATGATTCAAATCACTACACAAGCAGTATGATCGAAATCACTTGAACGATTCTATCATGCAAATTCTGAAGACATTATAAATTGCAAAAGAAATGGGAGATAAAGCTCTCAACCAAGCTGATGAGAAAACTCACTTTTTATTTAACTTCAAATTGTGTCTACAAAAAGGAATCTCAAAGCTATATATAGTCATCCTGCCATGTCATATGAAAGGTCTCCATCAAATGGAAAAACTTATAACTTACGAGAAATGAAAACATTTATAAATGAAAAGACATAACTTACAAGAAATGAAAAGACTTGTAAATGAAAAGGTATAACTTACGACAAATGGAAAGACTTGAAAATGAAAAGACATAACTTAAATAAATGGAAAGACAAGCAAATGAAAAGGCTATGAAAATGGAAAGCCAACAAAATAAATCTCAATCCTGTCCATAATGAAGAATGTGAGTATTTGACTTGGATTTTGAATTAAATGAGTTGAATTTGACTTTTCTTGAATGAGCTCACTTTTACCTTGACTAATTTGACTTTGACTTGCCTTAAAAACACTTAGAAATGCATAACTTGTACCAAATTGTAGTGAATTGTTTCAACATCCTGCACATCTTCCTTTAATTCCTTTGTTGAGCTCACCAACGCTTTAACACGAAGTAGTAAGCTTGTTGAAGTTTCTTAGCTCTTGATCTAGTAATCGGTCGATGAGGCATGACAAAGGGAGCTCCTTGGTTCATATCATCCTCCCCATATTTAAAAGGATTCGTCCTCGAATTGAATTCATCATTTACATCAAAAGGAGACAAATAAAAAACACTACATGTAGCACTCACTTCATACTTACCTGGCAAATCAATCTTATAAGCATTATCATTGATCCGTTCAAGGACTTGAAAAGGACCATCTCCACATGGTAGCAACTTAGACCTTCGTTGAGTTGGAAATTGTTCCTTTCGGAAATGTAACCAAACCCATGGTTGGAAAACTATGAGCTTGCATCCTTTATTGATGCGGGAAGCAACCTTTAGTTTTTTGCTTCTCAATCTTTTCCTTAACTTTTTTATGTCGCTTATGAACAAGATCAGCCTTTGTGCAAGCATCAGAACTAAAAAAGGAAGGCATATGCAATAAATCAAGTGGAGTAATAAGATTAAAGCCATGTAAAATTTGAAACGAAGTGCATTTCGTCGTGCTATGGATAACCCACAAACTAAATCAATGACAAAGAATCCTCCTAAGTTTTAGGATTTTTATCTATGATTTCCTAAAGTATGGTAATCATGGTCCTATTTACTACCTTAGTTTAACCATCAGTTTGGGGATGACAAGTAGTGGAGTAAACAAGTTTGGTTCTCAATTTTCCCCATAACACAGGCCAAAAGTAACTTAAAAACTTACATCTCTATCACTAACAATAGTTCTAAGAATGCCATGCAAAACACACAACTTCGATAAAGAACAAATCATCAATCAATTTAGTATCATCAATTTTATGGCATGGTATGAAATGCGTCATCTTGCTCAACCTATCAACCACTACAAATATACTATCCCTACCCTTCGAGTTTTTGGTAAACCAAGGACAAAATTCATAGAGATATACCTCCAATGAGTAGTAGGAACAGGCAAAGGTGAACATAAATCATGTGGTTGTAACCTAGACTTAGCTTTTTTATATGTAATACAATGCATACACACTTTACGCACATCATGCTTCATCTTAGGCCAATATAAATGTTCAGCAACCATATCATAAGTTTTAGAAACATGAAAATGACCCATTAAAACACCCCCATGAGCTTCCTTTACAAGCAACTCACAAAGTTTTCCTTTTCGAAACAAAAATCCTTCAAACAACATGTAATCATCTACTACAAGTCCTTTTTTACATGATTCAACAAAAGGAGCAAAGTACATATCATCTTGATACAAGGACTTAAAATGTTCAAATCCTAAAATCTTAGCATTCAAAGTATTAAAGAGAGCATACCTTCGTGATTCAATGTATTAAAGAGAGCATACCTCCGTGATAAAGCATCTGCAGCAATATTCTCCTTACCTTGTTTATACTTAGTCAAATATGGAAATGTCTCTACAAACTCCAACCACTTGGCATGTTTGGGATCTAGTTTGCTTTCCCCTCTCAACTGCTTTAGAGTCTTATGATCTATATGAATGACAAACTCCTTTGGCCAAAGATAATGTTGCCAAGTTTGCAAAAGCTCGTACCAAAGCATAAAGTTATTTATCATAAATTGGGTATCTCAAAGAGGCGCTACTCAACTTTTCACTAAAGAACATTAGCGGCTTATAGTTTTGCATTAGTACAGCCTCAATTCAAACTCCACTTGCATTACATTTAATTTCAAAAGTCGAATCAAAGTTCAGTAAAACAAGTAGAGGAGTGACAAGATGAAAAATGCACCAATATTTTATATATTTATTTTACATTTTTTCAATTTATTATGTTTAAATATTTGAATTTAATTATAATTTATCATTTTGTGGCAAATTGAAGATATTCAAGAATAATAATTTAAAAGTGCAATTTTAGAGGATAATGTGGACTTCACCAAATTGGGGAGAGCCCAACGGATAAAATACAGACACAATTATTATGGCTAGATGCTTCAATTTGAGAATTATGGATTTTTAGGATATTTTATAAATAAAGAGATATAATCTAAACAGGAAGCATAATCCTTAATTGATTAGGAACTCTTTTATTTAATTTGTTTTCTTTTATATAGGATCTTCCGAATTAAATATGAATTCCCAATTAGTCATGAATTCCTTTTTAAAGATAATTCTTCTTTAAAGAGGATAAAATTAATGTCTATAAATAGAGAAGCCTTATTGGGAGATGTATCATCCAAGTTCCAACGAAAAGCTCTCTTCTCCAAAATTCAAGTTCTCTCTCCCTCTACTATGAGTGGCTAGGCTTTAATTCTTCCAACTAAAGGGTGATTCAAGTCTGATTGTAAGCTTGGGAGACTCAAG